GCTGGGTGGGCGCGGGGCCTGGGGTGGGGGTCAGGTCACCGCCCCCTGCAAAGAACCCGGGGGGAGGGGGGTGTTAGCAGCCTCTAGGGGCAGAGGGGCAGTGCGTGGGGCCCAGGGCACTTGGGAAAGCCACACGGCTGCCTGGCCCAGGGAGGACCAAGGTGCTGGGGTCGTGTCTGGGCCATGGGCCTGAGGGGGAATGTGTCCCCAGCTGGAGAACCGAGGCAGCTCCCCGCAGGCAGCAGTGACTTTCCAGGCGGGGTTGCTTGTAACCCAGGGGCAGGCCTGGGGGCTTGGGCAGTGTCCCGGCAGGGCTGGGGCTGGCTTAGTGCCGACAGCAACAGGCCAGGGAAGTAGGCACACGAGCGCTGGGCTGTGCATGCTGCTATGTTGGCCGAGGGTGGCTGGAGCACACTGCGTTGGCCGAGGTTGGCTGGAGCACACTGCACCATGCATGCGGCTTTGTTAGTGTAGGGGGTTGCAAGCATGGGAGTGAGCATGTTGCTTTGTGAAGGTTACTGATGAGTGCTGGGCCGTGCACGCTGGTTTGTTATTGTAGGGTTGCTGCTGAGCCCAGGGTGGAGCATGCTGGTTTGTTATTGTAGGGTTGCTGCTGAGCCTGGCCGAGGTTGGCTGGAGCACACTGCACCATGCATGCGGCTTTGTTAGTGTAGGGGGTTGCAAGCATGGGAGTGAGCATGTTGCTTTGTGAAGGTTACTGATGAGTGCTGGGCCGTGCACGCTGGTTTGTTATTGTAGGGTTGCTGCTGAGCCCAGGGTGGAGCATGCTGGTTTGTTATTGTAGGGTTGCTGCTGAGCCCAGGGCGGAGCATGCTGGGTTGTTATTGTAGGGTTGCTGATGAGCTCTGCGTGGAGCATGCTGTCTTGCTATAGGAGATTTGCTTGTACAAGGGTTGCATCAAAGCCCATTGAAATTGCTGGAACGCCTCCCCTGAGTCCCCCCGGCTGTGGCTGGGGCCCGGAGGGGAGCCCGAGAGATTGCTGGGCTGGGCTGAAAGCTTCTCCCCAGGGGCTGTTGGCCTCCTGACCAGCCTTCGTGGGTGCCAGGCCAGGCTGGCAGCGCTCAGGGTGTCTGTGGAGGGGGCAGCTTCTCCTGGCTGGGCAGGCTGGGGCAGGAGAGCGACTGGCTCTAACTCCGCCAGAGATCCCCAGGATTTGGGGAGGAAGGAGAAGCTGCCCTGGGCCCCCTCTCTGCCCCGGACCCCTTCAATCTTCACTACCCTTGAAGCCCCTGGGACGGGGCAGGCTACAGTGTATGGACCCTGGGAGCATCTCTCCTGGCCCCCCCCAGCTCCCCGCACAGCTCAGGGGGCAGGAGAGCGACTGGCTCTAACTCCGCCAGAGATCCCCAGGATTTGGGGAGGAAGGAGAAGCTGCCCTGGGCCCCCTCTCTGCCCCGGACCCCTTCAATCTTCACTACCCTTGAAGCCCCTGGGACGGGGCAGGCTACAGTGTATGGACCCTGGGAGCATCTCTCCTGGCCCCCCCCAGCTCCCCGCACAGCTCAGGCCCCACGCTGGCAGGGCCACAGGCTG